TGGTCTATCAACCTTAGCTTTTTCTTTTAACTTCAGATAATTTAATTTAGTGGAGTTGAACTGAGCAAAAATAAACACCATTCCAGTCAGGCAGTTTCTTATAATGACTTCTGAGCTACTCCATGTAGCCTCTTGGTCACACTATTTAAGTTCCGGAAATGGAAAGTGACGGATGCAGGAACCAGAAAGTCACATATAAAAATGGAAGTGGGGGAATGAGGTAGAGAAATCATTGGACTGGTTACATATTGAAGTTTGTCTGCAAACACAGTGTAGAAGGTGGGATGCCTGCAATTGACTGAAGCCTCGCTGCTGTGATTGGCTGTAACCTAGCAAGTTTACTAAGGAAGCTGTTTTCTAAGTGAGGTCTCTGTTTGCTTATTGAAGCTAAAGCAGGAGTAGGAAGGCTTTCTCAAGCCAATACACTTTAACATGGCATCTACCATGTAAGTTGTAGACATTAGTCCTTCTGAGTTTATGTCGAATTTCACTCTCCTTTTCATCTGTCAATCCCTATCTACATCCTCTCAGCTTTTTATATTGCATTATCAATAGCACTTTGATTCATTGAGTATCTATGGGTACTACCCACTTTAGGCAGAACTAAATCCTAAATGCCTTTACATTTATGGATTGTGACTACAGTAAGTACTTAATAATCATTTCATTAAGTTTGAAGTTTCATGAGCTAAGACATAATGCAAAAAAAAAAAAAAACAATTTAAAAAGTCCTTTGTTGAAATGATTTGTTCTTATGCAGCCACAAATCAAAATCAAGTGATCTGTTCTTTTCTGAGTTTAACAGGCGAGCCCAAGGACATGAAGGAGGTTAAGAATAGTAAAAACTATACTGAAACCAAACAAAGCTGGAAAACTAATATGACTAGCTTTCTTTTTTTCTTTTCTTTTCTTTCTTTTTTTTTTTTTTTGAGAGATTTTCGCTACAGGGCGCGTGTGCTCGCCAGACAGACAGAGAGAGACATAGAGACAGAAAGCGAGAAATCACCCCCCGGGGGGATGGTCACGCCGCAATCCCTTCTCCTCCATTCTCCTCTCGGGATCTTGGGCACACACGCACACGCGCCCGGCGTGAGTTTTAAGCCACCGGGTCCGGGACGTGAACCGCGGTCGACTACGTGGGAGTCCAGTGACATAGCCATTACGCTAACTGCTGGTTCCCATGACTAACTTTCAAGACTGATTATAAAGCTATATTAGTTGAGACTGTGTGGTGTTGGTATAACCAACAAGTAGAACCCAACTGACTAGGCAGCTGAATAGAGAATCCAGAATATATATTTGAAGTTATGTGTTACATAACCATGTTTTGGTCAAGAATGAGCCATGTGGGGCCGACAGGTGGCATGGTGGTTAAGGCGCTGGACTCCTACATGATTGCCTGAGATTTGATTCCTGGGCCTGGCAACGTACTTTCTCATTCTCCCTTTCTCTCTGATCAGATTGAAGAATAACAATAAATAAATTAAATTGAATTTAAAAAAGAATCAACAATGTATACAACGGAAGT